TGCCTCTGGAGGGCCTGGGGGGTGGGGGTGGGGAAGGCCCGTTTTTCTTTCTTACCTGGCTCCAGATCCTCTCTGTGTATCTGGGAACGGCGAAAACAGCCTTTCCCACTCCCTTGGAGGCCCTACGGAGGCTGAAAGGGCCCATTTCCCCACTCCCGGTGGGACAGGAAGTGACTTTTTTCCTGTCCCCAGCCTCCAGAGACTCCTAGAGAGGCTCCTACAGACTCCTAGAGAGGTTCTGGAGGCTGGGGACAGCAAAAAATGTCACTTCCTGTCCCACCGGGAGTGGGGAAATGGGCCCTTTCAGCCTCCGTAGGGCCTCCAAGGGAGTGGGAAAGGCTGTTTTCGCCGTTCCCAGATACACAGAGAGGATCTGGAACCAGGTAAGAAAGAAAAACGGGCCTACCAGGCCATCATGTGCCAGGAGTGGGGGAGGGAGGGGGTTGTGCACACATGCGCGTGGGCACGTGCGCGCGCGACCCTCCCCGCCCCCTGCTCTCCTGGCACGCGATGGCAAAAAGGTTAGCCATCACTGGTAGAGGGTCTCCTGCCTGAGAAGGTCAGACTAGAAGACCTCCAAGGTCCCTTCCAACTCTGTTGTTATTGTATTAAGACTTAAAACGGGGTCTCGCAGCAACATCTACTGAGCTGAGCGAAATTAAACCCAGTTTTCAGCAATCTCCAGGAGTCTGGCTGGGCGGGAAAGGAGATTTGTTATTGTTATTGTTTAGATTCTATACCGCTTCATAGTGCTTTACAGCCCTCTCTAAGCGGTTTACAAAGTTAGCATATAGCATATTGCATATTAGCATATTGCATTAGCATTAGCATATTGCCCCCAACAATCTGGGTCCTCATTTTACCCACCTCGGAAGGATGGAAGGCTGAGTCAACCTTGAGCTGGTGAGATTCGAACTGCTGACCTGCTGAACTAGCAGTCAGCTGAAGCAGCTGCAGCAGTACTGCACTCTGACCACTGTGCCACCTCGGATCTTTTTGATCTTTCTAGTCCGGGAACCACTATTTCAAAGAAATTAAGGATAGTATACAGCAGTCCTTGAGTTATGAGTGTAATGGAGCTGGCTTATTGTCAGCTTTGGAAGCCATATTAGGCCGGAAGCTTCCAAGCTGCCACCTTCTCATGTGTGGGAAAGTAGGAGCGGGGGGGGGGATTTAATTGAGGGTTTGTATTTAGACAAAATAGCATTCTTCCTGTCGGTCAAGGTCAGGATGAGCCTGCATCTGAAGGAGTGGTTGGATGGGACATGATGGGACGGATGGTGATTGGAGCATGTGATTGACTGAGGAGTGAGGGGATGATGGTTTTGGGGGTTTTGATTTACTGAGGAAAAACCTGGAACTCTCAGATTTGGGTTTTCCCAAGATGTGCCAGTATACCTACTCTAATAAATGGAACTTTGAGAAAATGCTTGCCTCAAGAGTTTTTAATTGGAGCGGAGGTTTTTCTGGAGCGCTGACACTTATCATGGCTGCAAATCATGAAGGTCATAAATGAGGGTCACCCATTGTGACTGACCTGATTTTACGACCTTGTTTTGAAACGATTGAATAAGCAGGTGCCATGATGGTAAAGCGACTGCAACCCAATAGTTCTCAATGGGCTTGGTTTTGCCAAAAAGCAGGTGGAGATTTTGGACAAAACACGGTTGTCGTGTCTCCAGGACATTATAAACCGTGATCCAGTTGCGGAGTGCGCAAAATACTGTCACATGACTGGGGGGTGGGGAAGTGGAAGTCACCCTCATCAGAACTTTGAATCCAGATCACAAGTACCCCCGGGAGGTCTGTTGTAATTTTGAACACTTGCTCTGCGATCAGTTACTACCCGTATTTAATGTTAAGACTGTTGAAATCAGAGGCTCATCCATTCTGTTCCCCCAATTACCCAAATAGCATCGGGATCGTACATTTTAGAACAAGACGCAAAGGACACGGATCAAGAGGCGTTTTGCTCATCTCCTATGAATTTTTAGGTGTGTCGTTTCGAGTTTCACCAAGCTTGTGAGTCTTTTTTCTTAGTCCAAGTGCTGCTGCAACCACACTCTTTAATTTTAATACACGTGGTTGTTTGGAATTTTGTCAAGATTCTATCAAGATGGCAAAATTGAGGACCCAGTTTGTGGGGGCAATAAGCTGACTTTGTATGAATATACAAAAGTATGAAGGCTATTGCTTAACGCATTGTAAGCCGCCCTGAGTCTCCGGAGAAGGGCGGCATATAAATCAATTTTTTTAAAAAAAATTGGAGCTGCTAAAATCGATGGGTGGGCTAGTGGTTATTTGTTCTATGTAGTAGATAAAAATGGGGTTAGACAAGCATCTCAAATCCCCTTTCCCAGAGAAAATACATTTCAGGAGAACAAGAAAAACAGTTAGACCAGTGTTTCTCAACCTCAGCAACTTTTAAGATGTGTGGACTTCAACTCCCAGAATTCCCCAGCCAGCATGCATGCTGGCTGGGGAATTCTAAGAGTTGAAGTCCACTGATCTTAAAAGTTGGGAGGCTGAGAATCACTGTTTTAAACAAATACAATTAAAACACTGGGAGATCGAAACAGTGCTCAGAAGAAACTTATTCTCCAAAGCCCGGAAGGCAGGACAAGAAACAATGGATGGAAACTAACCAAGGAGAGAAGCAACCTGGAATTAAGGACAAGCTTCCTAACAGCGAGGACAATTAACCAGCGGAACAATTGGTCTGCAGAAGTTGTGGGTGCTCCAATACTGGAGGTTTTTGAGAAGAGAGACAACCATTTGTCTGAAATGGTATAGGGCAGTGATGTTTAACCTTTTCGGCACTAAGTGCCAAAAGTGGAGCGTGTGTTTGTGTGTGCGCACGTGCCGGAGCGCCAGGACCCGGAGGAGAGCAGCTGGCTTGTGCGCATGCGTGCGGCAGCTAGCTCTACTTCTGGGTTTTGTCGTGTGCATGTGCACCCATCAGCTGCTCTCTTCCAGGTTCTTCGAAAATCAGCTGGCCGATGGAACCCAGGAGAGAGCAGCTAGCTCTCGGCCAGCTATCCAGCACACATACGCACGATGGAACCCGGAAGTGCAGCTGGTGCTGGCGCGTATGACCGCAGAGAGGGCTCTGCGTGCCACCTCTGGCATGCGTGCCATAGGTTCACCATCACAGATATCAGGTCCCCTGCTTGAGGAGGGGGTTGGACTAGAACAGGGGTCTGCAGCCTTCAACACTCAAAGAGCCACTTGGACCCATTTCCCACAGAAAAGAAAACACCGGGAGCCACAAAACCCTTCCTGTGCCTGGCTATTTCTTGAGCAGCCACAAAACTAGCATATGTAGTTGAATTAAATGTTCTGTTTTCTTCTGAAAGTCTTCTTTTCTTGGATTTATCCATGATTTATTCATTTATTTATTTATTTTATTTTATTTCTATACCGCCCTTCTCCCGAAGGACTCAGGGCAGTGTACAGCCTGATTAAAAGCACAAAGACAGACAAAATTTAAAAATAATTAAAATTATTAAATGATAGGCTCAATTATAAAACCCCCAAATTTAAAATCCCATTTAAAACCAATTAAAATCTTTACATTGATAGCCCAGCCTGGCGGAACAAGAAGGTTTTGAGGGCACAGCGAAATACATGGAGATCAGAGATTTTACGAATTTCTGGGGGCAGTTCATTCCAAAGGGCAGGGGCTCCCACAGAGAAGGCCCTCCCCCTGGATGTCGCCAGCCGACATAATTTGGCCGATGGCACCCTGAGGAGACCCTCTCTGTGGGAGCAAACCGGCCTGGTGGGAGGCTACTGGTGGCAGAAGACGGTCTCGAAGGTATCCAGGTCCAATGCCATGGAGCGCTTTAAAGGTGGTAACCAACACCTTGAATCGCACCCGGAAGACCACTGGGAGCCAGTGCAGCTCACGCAGGTGGGGTGTCACGTGGGCACAACAAGTTGTGCCCATAACCACCCGCGCGGCCGCATTCTGGACCAGTTGGAGCCTCCGGGTGCTTTTCAAGGGGAGCCCCATGTAGACAGCATTACAATGATTGGCCTACCTGGGATTGAAAAGCTCAATAAATTGCGTGCTGGCGGGTGTCGCACATTGGTGGTTGTGACGCATATTTTGAGCCACAGCAGAGGGGTGAAAGAGCCACATGCGGCTCCAGAGCCGCAGGTTGCTGACCCCTGGACTTGAAAGAGCTCCAAGGTCCCTTCCAGCTGACTGACTGACTGATTGATTGAATGAAAGTGGCTTAGAGATAACACATTGATCTGTCCCCGTCCACACACACACACAAACACAGCCAGCCGAGGGTTAAGGAAGCACTTGGCACACACCCAGGTCTTTATCTCCAACTTGGCAGCGATATACACACTATCTGCCAAGTGCTTTTATTTCCACAGAAACAGAAAGATAATATACTCAGCGTACAAGAGTCCAACAGAAATAATATTCCTCTCAGCAGTTTCGGATGATGCTTTAGTGACTATCCAAGGTTTATTTTTGTTCGTCACAGGGATCACTGGCCACCACCCTCTATTATATAATCTCTGGGGTGTGGTCCAGTGACTCAGTTCTAATCCCTAGCACGCCTCCTGAGCTGCTGCAATCGTTTATCACGCCTTCGGTGGCGTGCGTCCAGGAATGACGTCTCTCCTTCACTCTCCCTCGGCCGGCTCCTGAGACAGTGCCAGAGGGGAAGGGCCTGGAGAGGGAGGCCTGGCTGACTCCTCTTCCTCATGCTTTCTTCCTCCGATGGGATAGGCTCAGAGGGCGGGGCCACAACACACATCAATAACATTTGTTCGAGGAACACAGCCTTTGTCTAACTAAATCAACTGCTGTCTTTGTGATCCTTCCCTCATTTTAGTACAGGGACATGGTAACCAGGCGATCGTCAGGAGTCAACACTGATTTGGGCCCAAATGCAAAAAAAAAAAAAAAAAGAGGGAAAGAAATAGAATGGATTAAAGTTTAGTAAGCCTAGCAGAGAAGCTCCACAGATGGCGACATACAGTTCTTCCATTGTGCTGGTGGACTCCGTTTTATTTTTTTCAGTTGAATGTTCCGAGTTCCACGCAGAAGTCCCAAGATTCTGTTCAAAGGAAGATGAAGGTGGGATATTGCTGTAAGAAAGTCACCCTGTACTTGTTTTTCTTCTTCAATCACCTGTTCTTTATCTTGGGGGCCCTGATGGTCGGGATTGGAACCTGGATTTTGGTTGACCAAAAATCCTTCATTCCCATCCTGCAGCATTCGGTGCCCTCATTCCAAGCTGGGCTCTACGTCTTCATCGGAGTCGGTGCCGTCACCATGGTGCTCGGCTTCCTGGGATCCTTAGGGGCCCTCTGTGGCATCCGGTGTGCCCTTGGCATCTACCTCACCTGCCTGGTGTTCATCCTCTCGGCCCAGGTCACTGCTGGTCTGATGATCTACTTCCAACAGAGCTCACTGAAAGCCAGAATGCCCGAGGTGGTGATTGATCTCTTCCAGACATATAACCCTTCGGATGATATGAATCAGGTCCTCGAATCCGCTTGGGACTTTGTTCAATTCAAGTTCTCGTGCTGCGGCTGGACCGGACCCGAAGACTGGCAACTCAACAAAATCCTTTGGACGAACAAAATGCGCTTCTATCCATGTTCTTGCAGCAACCAGACGGAGGACACCTCGATAGGGACAGGTTTCTGTGCTCTGAAGACCGATTCGAACGCAAGCACCATGGCCGACTGGCCCGTGAAGAAGCACGGGTGCCGGATGGCTGTGCAGAACTGGCTGCAGGAAAATTTCAACGTCTTTCTCGGGGTCTGCATCGGAGTGGGCATCACGGAGGTGCTGGGGATAGGGCTCTCTATCTGCCTTTGCAAAGGCAAAACGTGCCAGTACTGAAGACGTCGACCCCGCCTGGAGCCTGGATGCGATCCACGAGGAAAGAGGGAACTGGATTCCTTGTTCCAGACGGTGCTTGGCAGTCCCTACTGGAGCATTAACTCAAATTCCTCTACTTATCTTGCTCCTTCCTTTTATAGCCAAGAGCATCAATGGGTGCAAATGTTATGAACTTTTAGGTTTTATTCACTGCCGTAATAAGATTTAGGATGCTCCGTATGTCTTCCGGACAACTCCTTGCGCTGGGTACGTACTCTCTTCCTTCTGTGCAGTTTGGATCAAGTTGGGAGATTAGACTGGTGGACTTCTTCCGCAAATATCCCTACCTGAAGCTGGTTCATCCTTTCTCAAATTATTCAGACCCCGCTGTTCAGGCTGACTTCCTCAATTCCCAGGGGAAAATCTCTTCTGTCTGGAATTGTATCGCTTGCTCCGTTTCTCCAACTTTTGCAAAATAAAAATTGTATCAGCTGTACAACTTTCTTTCCCTTCCTGTTTGGTGTTTGGGATATCCATCAGGTCAAAGGTGAGGTGAGGCTTCAAAGGAGGACTCTGGATCACAGGGTGGAGTATCTGGAGTTCTCCTCTTCCTGGGTTTGTTCATTTGAAGGCAGTTTATTTTTGTTGCACAGGCAGTCCTCGACTTACAACCATTCGTTTGGTGACCGAAGTTATTACGGTACTCGAAAAAAAATTGACTCATGACCGTTGCAGCATTCCCATTCGTCACATGATCAAAATTCGAGTGCTTGTTAACTAGTTCATACTTATGACAGTTGCTGTGTGTCGCAGTCATGTGATCCCCTTTTGCGACCTTTTGACAAGCAAATCCAATGGGGGAAGCCAGATTCACATAGCAACTATGATACTAACTTAACAGTAATTGTGGCAAGGAAGGTCCTAAAATGGAGCCAAACTCACTTAGCAACTGTCTTGCTTAGCAACAGAAATTTTGGGTTCAGTTACAGGTAGTCCTCGACTTACGGCCACAATTGAGCCCAAACTCTTATGTTGCTAAGTGAGAAATTTGTTAAGTGAGTTTTGCCCCATTTTACGTCTTTTCTTGCCACTGTTGTTAAGTGAATCACTGTGGTTGTTAAATTAGTAACACGGTTGCTAAGTGAATTTGGCTTCCCCATTGACTTCGCTCGTCAGAAAGGTCGCAAAAGGTGATCACGTGACCCCGGGACACTGCAACTGTCATAAATATGAGTCAGTTGCCAAGCGTCTGAATTTTGATCACGTGATCATGGGGACGCTGCATTGGTTGTAACTGTAACTTTTTTAAAAAGTCACTTTTTTTCGTGCCGTAGTAACTTTGAATGGTCACTAAAAATGAACTGTTGTAAGTCGAGGACGACCTGTATGATCGTAAGTCGAGGACTACCTGCAACTATTTTTAAATTTTAAATTTTAAATTTTAAATATTATTAAATGGTTTTTAACATTTCATATTGATTTGTCTATTATATTGTTGTGAGCCACCCTGAGTCCTTTTCGGAGAGAGGGCGGCATATAAGCTTAATAAATAAATAAATCAATCAATAAATCAATAAATCAATAAATAAATAAATAAATCCTTGGTAGTACAGTGGTCTAAGGCACCCTGTTATTAAGCTGGTTATTAAGATCAGCTGCCTGCAATTACTGCAGGTTCGAATCTCGCCAAGGCTCAAGGTTGACTCAGCCTTCCATCCTTTCTAAGGTAGATAAATTGAGGATCCAGTTTGTGGGGGCAATAAGCCGACTTTGTATAAATATATAAAAGGATGAAGGCTATTGCTGAGCACATTGTAAGCCGCCCTGAGTCTCCGGAGAAGGACGGCATATAAATCAAATTTAAAAAAATAAAATAAAATAAACCAACTAACTACATTTGTAAGAGATTAAAGAAATAATAAAAGCTAAACCAAGAATAAAAAGAAAAAATAGAAAGTGCAGAATATAGGGGGTCAAAAAAGAGGATCTCAAATCCTCTTCTTGGCTGGTGAGGAATTACAAAGAACCCAGTTTACTTGCAGGCTTTCCAATTGTTGTGGTCACTCGCTCTGCTCAAAGGCACGTTAGAGATGGCGCACGCCTCAGAGGTGTGTCAGCAGGCACTCTTTTCAGACACTGTGTGGCTTTCAAGATCACCAGACATTTTTCTTGGGTTACCAACTTTCGTTATAAAGATGCAATAGCTGGTGCCATTTTGGTCTAGGGCAGGGCTGTCAAACTGGATTTCTTCGAGGGCCGGATCAGCATTGTAGTTCCCCTCGGCGGTCCGGTGGGGGGGGGGGGGAGACGCCTCCTGTAGCACCGTGCTGGCCAAAACGGGATGCGGGTGGCGCCCCCACGGCCTGTTTTCAGGCTGGATGGCCTCCTGCAGCATTTTGCCGGCTAAAATGGGGCGCGTTGTGGATAGACAGACTGTCTGTTTTGGCCGTCAGGGTGATGCAAGAGGCCGTCCAGGCCGAAAACAGGCTGGCGGGGCGGGGGGCACATGTGGCTCCCACGTGACCCATTTTGGCCAGCAGGCTGGTACAGGAGGCCATCCAGGCTAAAAATGGGCCACGGGGGTATGTGCATGGCCCCTCTGCACCCTGTTTTGGGCGGCAAGGTGCTACAGGAGGCCGTCCTTTGCTATTTCCAGGCCGGCCCCACAGGCCAGATTTAAGCACCCCTATGGGCTGGATCCAGCCCACGGGCCTTGAGTTTGACACCCCTGGTCTAGGGTAAGCTTGTGTCACTGAGTACCCAATCTGAGAGATGGGACGTATTTCTAGAATGGATGGCCCTTTGAGGCAAATAAACTAATTGCCACCTTTATATACTGTATTTATTTATTTATTTCAGACATTTATATGGCCATCCCCTTTGTACACAGGACTCTCGATGGCTAACAATTAAAAATTCCTAAATAGGATAAATAAATAAATAAAAAACCAAAATAAAACCAGAATAAGAAAGACCCTTTTTATGCAAAAAAGTATAAACTAGCAGCCAAGAATATTCATAGTATATTACACTGTTTCTCAACTTTAGCTACTTTAAGATGGGTGGACTTCAACTCCCAGAATTCCCCAGCCAGCCAAGAGTTGAAGTCCACGGTCCACCCATTCTTAAAATGGCCAAGGTTGAGAAAAACAAGACATACTACATTCAACTCCACCTGCTGTGGCCCGCCAGCGGCCTGCGCGGATTGTTGCTGACCCCGACGACGAGGAGGCTGGTGTGGTGTCACGTCAGCAGCCTGTGCAGCCGGTGCTCAAGTCGGACAGTGAGGAGGCTGAAGAAGATGTACTGCCAGCTGCCTGAAATTACTGCAAGTTCAAATCTCACCAGGCTCAAGGTTGACTCAGCCTTCCATCCTTTCGAGGTAGGTAAAATGAGGACCCAGATTGTGGGGGCAATAAGCTGACTTTGTATAAAAAAGAACACCACTTAGGGGCGCTGAAAGCCCTACTAAGCAAGTATATAGAAAAGTATGAAGGCTACTGCTTAATGCGTTGTAAGCCGCCATGAAAAGGGCGGCATATAAATCGAACTAATAAATAATCTATATAAATAAAAATGTAAATGTTTGTTTGTTCAAAATCTTAAATCTCCGAAAGTTCTGCAGCGATTGCTTTGAAATTTTGACACAACGATGCATTCGAATATGCGCGTGTTTTTATATACCTACTATTATATAGATGTCACACCTGTGACAGGTGACAGGTAAAAACATGTTTTGAAAAACAGCGCCATCTGTTGGGCATAAAACCAACACATGCCACCTGGGCTGGCTTGATCCCATCCTCTCAGTTTTTAATTTGAATTTGGTTTTAATTGGGTTGTTTTAAACTTGTGCCAAAATTATTTAATTGTTTTTAAAAATGTTTTTAAATTTTATATGCTATGTTTTATCTTGGCTGTACACCGCCCTAAGTCCCGCAGGAGAAGGGCGGTATAGAAATAATAAAATAAAATAAAATAAAATAAAATAAAATAAAATAAAATAAAATAAAATAAAATAAAATAAAATAAAATAAAATAAAATAAAATAAAATAATAAAATAAAATAAAATAATAAAATAAAATAAAATAAAATAAAATAAAATAAAATAAATGTATTAGGTGTGCAATGTTGCGACGTTGATCATTAATTGGAAGGGAGAGGGAGGGAGAGAGGTGGAAGGAGAGAGAGAAAGAAAGAGAAAGAGAGAGGGAGAGAGAGAGAGAACGAGAACGAGAGAGGGAGGAAGGGAGGGAGAGAGGGGGATGGCGGGAAGGAGGGGGATGGAGGGAGAGAGAGATGGAGAGAAAGAACGAGAAAGGGAGAGAAAGAGAGAGGGAGGGAGGTGAAGGGAGGGGGGAGAGAAGGAGGGGGAGGGAGGGAGGGAGGGAGAGAGGGGGGAGGGACAGCAGATTCATATTTATGACAGTTGCAATGTCCTGGGATTATGTCATCCCCTTTTGCGTCCTTCTGACAAGCAAAGTCAATGGGGAAGATCTTCGTCTTTTCCATTTAACCAGACTGAGCCACAGCAACGCGTGGCCGGGTACAGCTAGTAAATAATAAAAAGGCAGGAGTGGTTACTCAGGAGAAGGTCTTCTCGAGAGTAAGGCCTGGGGCTAATTGGCCACTCCCTTAGCCTATTTAAATTTGCACACAGCTTGTAAAAAGCTGCAGGAAACAACGTTTGTTCGTTCGCTGATCATTGAGTTTGGATTTTCTCTGCAAACCTGGCTTCTGGGCTTTCTGCCAACTCTTGTAAGACTCTATCTTATCTGTGGAATTTCTGGCAGGTTGTTAAGAACATTTTATTAACAGCCTGCATTTGCAAAAGACTGTGTTTCGAAGTAAACTGAGTTTTGTTCTGAGTTTGTGTGTGCTACATTCTTTGGGATCCGTAGCTGGGGCAGAACACCGCCATGACACAGGTTCATCCATACTGTCAGGGACCCAAGATGGATGACAAAGCCATTTCTTAATGTCCCACAAAAAGCCAAGCAGGATCAGGACGAGCCTAATTCCAGGAAAGGAGGGGGAGGGGAGAATAATGACACATTCGCATTTTTAATGACCTGGAATTCCATAAAACCTTCCTAGAGAGGCTTAAAGCTGAATTAGGAACTCAAAGGGTGTTCAAATCTCTGGGAAAATATTTCGACTGAAGTAAGAAATTGAAAAGCATAGGATGCCATTATGAAGCTCTAGATCAGAGATGGGGAACGTTGGCCCCTTTATGACCTGTGGACTTCAACTCCCAGAATTCCTGAGCCAGCACAAGGAACGATGGCTTCTTTATGACCTGTGGACTTCAACTCCCAGAATTCCTGAGCCAGCACAGGGAACGATGGCCCCTTTCTGAGTTGTACATTTCAATTCCCAGAATTTCTGAGCCAGCATGGGAGTGGAAGTCCACAAGTCATAAAAGGCCCATCGTTCCCCACCCCTGCTTTAGATGCTAGTCTTATACTAGAGCCGTGATGGTGAACCTATGGCACGTGTGCCACTGGTGGCACACAGAGCCATATCGGTGGGCACGTGAGCATTGCCCTAGCTCAGCTCCAGCGCACATGCATGCGCTGGCCAACTGATTTTCGGGCCTTCCGGAAGTCGGGAAACAGGCTGTTTCCGGCCTCCGGAGGGTCTCCAGGGCGGTGGGGAAGGGCCGTTTTTCGCTCTCCCCAGGCTCCAGAGGTTTTCTAGGAGCCTGGGGAGGGTGAAAATGGCCTCCCCCCCCCCCGGAGGCCGGACACGGCCGTTTGTTGACTTCTGGTGGGATCGGAAGGCCTGTTTTTTGCACTCCCCAGGCTCCAGATGCTTTCTAGGAGCCTGGGGAGGGCAAAACCAGTCTTCCCCAGCCCCCGGAAGCCCTCCAGAGGGCGAAAAACGGGCCCACCAGGACTATCATGCCATAGCGTGCCAAAAGCGTGGGGAGCGCGGTGGGTGGAGTCACGTGCACGGGGGTGGGGCCCATTGAATTATGGGTGTAGGCACATGCGCGCACAACCCCCCCCACGCTCCCCATGCTTTTGGCACGCGACAGCAAAAAGGTTAGCCATCACTGTCCTAGAGCCATTCCTGAAGCCAACAGCCATTTGGGGTTCCGCTCAAGTCTAAAGGACGGATCATAAAGACTGGACCTGGCTAGAGTGCCCTCGAGAGACAATGCTATCATTGTCTTCCTAGGATGGCTTTTCTATGGTTCAGACCCACCCGGAAACAAAGCCAAGCGATTCTGTTTGGTCGCCGTGTTTCTTTCCTTTGAAGCTGAAGGTTCCGAGTTCTGAGGAGAAGTTCTGTGAAAAAGCAACAATGCCGTGTTGTTGCTGCAAATGCCTCAAGGGCTTGTTCTGCTTCTTCAACGTCCTTTTGTTTCTCATGGGAGCTGCCATGTTCAGTTTAGGCCTCTGGGTTTTGATCACCAAGAGCGCCTACGTCACCGCCCTGCAGTCCGTTTTCGACTCCTTCCGAATCCTGCTGTACATTTTCATCGTGGTTGGCGCCGTCGCCATGTTTCTCGGCTTATGGGGCATTCTCGGATTCTACTTTGGAATAAAATTCATTTTGATGGCCTACATCCCGTTCCTGATAGTCCTAATCCTCTTCCACTTTTTCCCTGGCTTGTTCGTCTACTTAAAACAGCAGATGATAGATGACAACCTCGGCAAGAATGTCCTCAGCCTCATCCAGAACTATAACCCAATGGACCAGGCCAACCAGCACAAAGAGATAACTTGGGATTACGTCCAGGTCAAAATGTCTTGTTGTGGCTGGAGCGGGCCGGAAAATTGGAAAAACAACACCTTTTTCCAGGATAAGATGGGAACCTACCCATGTTCTTGCAGCGACCACCCAACCAGCTTCCAACCAGCGCTGGGCATCTGCAGGTTGAACACCGTTTCCCATAAATCTGTGGTAAATGACTGGCCCGTGAAAAAACAGGGATGCGGTACGCCTGTGCGAAAGTGGTTCAAGACGGTAACGGACACCGTGTTCCTCGTGTCCTTCCTCGTGATCGCCTTCGAGATTCTGGGAATCGGCCTTTCGTTTTACATTTGCGCAGGCCGAAACGTGTACGCTGTAGGTCACCGCTGAAGCTCCCCAAGCGGAAGACCGCTGCGGTTAAGGGGAACGTTCCCCAGAGGGGGAAAAAAAACAAAACAAAAACAAAATTCCTAGTTTCCAGGTTTTCTTCAGGTTGTTAAGTGACGTTTTGGCATGGCTGGTAGCTGATTCGTTGAACTCAAGCCACACGTTTTGAGCCTCCAGAGGTTGAAATGAAATTTCCAGTATCTCTCGCCCTTGAGCATACTGGTTTGGACTTCGGAGGGTCGTGGTCCCCTCAGGAAAGGGGAGTTCCAGGATCCCTATAGTTATCTTAAAAAGATTTCAAAACCTGGCCAACCTCCTCAACATTTGCCCAGTCAGCATTATCTACCCTTAGATATTTGAGACCTTGAAACATTAACATCAGCTTTGAGCTACATAATTTAATCCACTGTATCTCAACCTCTGGCACTTTTAAGATGTGTGGACTTCAACTCCCAGAATTCCCCAGCCAGCCATGCTGGCTGGGGAATTCTGGGAGTTGAAGTCCACACATCTTAAAAGTGCCAGAGGTTGAGACACACTGGTTAATTTTTAAGCTTTATCCATGGTCATGATTTAGGATGATCCTTCTTTGCATGTCTGTAGTTTTCTTCCATTATCCAAGAATTGGACAACGCATTGAATTTATCCAGAAGATCTATCCTGCATTCAATTCTACCGACAAGAAACCAGGACTCTTGCTGCCTGTTGGAACTCTCTCCTTTCAAACGTGCTACAAAACTCCCGAACATTAAAGGGGACTTATTTTCTCAACAATGCATCCGGTTGCTTTGTTCTTTGGAGCAACACGCGTTCTCCATAAACTTCCTTCAAGCTCTTGAACCTGTTGCTGCATGATTCCTCCACGTTGCTAAAATAAAACCGCTACATGAAAAGACGATTCCCGAGTCCTTCCCATCACTGTTTGTTCGTTGGTGACACTGAGCAGATCAAGATTTGCAAGTGACCCAGCCTTGCAAGGGTGATTTTGCAGATTATCCAATGCCTTCTGGTGTGTGTGTGTGTGTGTGTGTGTGTGTGTGTGTGTGAGAGAGAGAGAGAGAGAGAGAGAGAGAGAGAAACAGAGAGACAGAGAGAGAGACAGAGAAAGATAGGGAGAGATACAGAGAGAGAGACAGAGACACAGAGAGAGAGACAGACAGAGATAGAGAGACAGAGACAGAAAGATAGACAAAGAGAGACAGAGAAATAGAGAGACAGAGACACAGACACAGACAGAGATAGAGACAGAGAGAGACAGAGAGAGAGACAGAGAGAGAGAGAGAGAGAGAGAGAGAGAGAGAGAGAGAGAGAGAGA